GGATGCGGTCGAACCGCGTCCGGGAGCGACGTAGAGGCTTTCTGTACGTTTAGGCTGTCCTGGACTCGGCAGAATATCTTGTCCAAGATTACGATTCTTCAGGAGAGCGCCTTCGAATTGACCGGAAGTCGAGGCAGCGTACGTCGGCGTTGCGGCACCGCTTCCCACTACGGATCCGTTTAATGGTGTGCCCGACCGAATCGCGCTCGGTGCTCTCATAGATCTAAATTTGCAGATCGAAGCGTTAAAATTTATTCATTAATACTTTTGTTATTACTAATTCACTTTTGATTGTAAATGAGTAATTTACAATTTAATCCATAATTACAATGGTAGATTAAAATTTGTTACATTTTTTAATTAATATCGTAAAAATTGAAATATCGAATAAGTAGATAAGCGACATGAAAGATTGACGAATGAAAATGGGATTTAATATTTTGGGAATGTTAGTTTCCATTATTATTGATCAGTGTTTAATTGTAAACGTAATGGATAACAAATTGTTAAATTGTTTACTTCATTTTACTTCATTTGGCGTAAAATGAAGATAATAAATATATATATAAATAAATGAGGAGAATAAGTTTTGGGAATAAAAAACTAAAAAACAGACAAATTGCAAGGCACCTGTCGAGCATATCTAGGGATGGATTCGTGACGGATTTATCGACGGACGGCTGTCTCGATCCAGTCAATCGGGAATGCGCTCTAGCGTATCGATCTACGGAACTATCACGACTGGGCGGCCTCTTATAATGATCTAGCCTGTAAAATGATAGATCAGAACCGATATAATTAAGAAAATATCCTTTGAAATAAGAAGAATATAAAACAGATCCTTAATGCTAGAATTATCAATAATGTGTACTATCTAATTATTATTGAAATGGCATGATTACAGTAAATAGTTATATACAGGGTGTTCCAACAATCGTATTATTCGTGTATTAAAAAAATGTTAACTCCGTGAATGTGACGAGTTTGATACTTCTAGCGTTAATCGAATTTGTTGTATTAATTTACTCGCGTGAACAATGAGCTCAGAGACCTGTCGTTCAGCGTTTGCCCAATGGTATTGGGTCGATCCTGGGGAGATAAAACCCTGCTGTTTCTTCGTATACTCGTAGAACTCGGTGGTCGTTTTGCGTCGCCATCAGGCTCGTATTGTTGTGGAATTTGGGTTTGTGATTGAGGTGGTAATTGCTGCTGTTGCGATTCCCCATATATTTGCTGGGAGTTGTATTGATTCATTTGACTTAGCCCATATTGATTCGGTAACGTCTAAAAAGAAATTGAACAGGATTGATATATATGCACAAAATTATATAACCTACACAGTTTAATCGAAAAGAAGATCTAGTAATCTACTTAATGTGTTATTACCTGCTGACTAGGATAACCTTGCATATTCTGATACCCGTGTGGTCCAACTTGCTGCTGTTGTTGGTACAAATACTGATCGCCCTGAGGTGGATTCATAGGTTGATATTGAGGCTGATTATAGGGACTACCTTGAACAGGGTACTGATTCTGCGGAGCGTATTGCCCTCCCTGGAACTGACTCATTGGCTGATACTGATTCGGTATACTGTTAGGATACTGTTGAATAGGATTCTGAGCCATCGACTGAGGGTACTGCGTTTGATAAAGATTTTGACCGCTCAAGGTAGTCTGGTTCAATTGATTCAGAGGTAGCTGGTTCACCAGTTGAGCTGGAGTCACCTGATTCGCTAGCTCGCTCTGCGATAGCTGATTCTGCGGTAACTGATTTTGCGGTAGCTGATTTTGTGGCAATTGATTGCTCAACAGTTGATTTTGCGACAATTGGCTCTGCGGCTTCATGCTGGCTCTTCTGATCGACTGCATCACGTTACTTGCCGTGGTTGTCGCTGACGTAGTTGTTCCCGACGTTGTTTCTGAGGTCTGATTCTTCATAGGCGTAGAGCTAGGTTGATCCACGCTGCCCCCCTTATGAAGAATACTCTTCGCTGGAATACTGTCCTGAGGTGGTGGCACGTACTTCGGTATCTCCCTGTTACGTAATCTCTCGAGTCCAGGTTGTCGGAAGTCCGGCGCAAATTGCTTCGCCGTCTGCTGAGCCAGTTCCGAATCTTCTCTCGCTTGCTCGGCAGCTGCATCCGCCAACTCGGCTCTTCCTCGCGCAGTGGCTGTTCTCGAGATCGCTATATCCGCCTTCTGAAGAGCGATCTTGCTCGCCCTTTGAGCCGCATTCACCGCAGCCTCTATCCTCTCACGGAACTTGGCCGATCTGATAAGGAACAGATGCTTCTTCTTCTGGCTGGTGATCAACACGTTGTTCTTGTACTTGCCCTCTTCCTTGGTGCCATCGCGGAACGTTGTCACACCGTATCCGTACTTTCGATTATTGAACCATTCACCCTCGTATCGCAAGCCATCGCTACGCTCCGATATACCGAAGCCTGTCCTCTTGTCGTTCTTCCACTCGCCGAGGTACGTCTCGGTTACCGAGGCGTCCATTTGTTCGTCCTGAAAATGAAATATTGTTCTTATACAAGAAAAATTATATTAGAAAATTATTCAGCCGTTTCAACCTCTTTCGTACTACTATTCGCCAAAATATCACAACGAATCTCACCTCGATGACGAAGGACGCATTGCTATCCGTATGAACAGATGCCGAAGCCTGACTCTGCGAGCTTTCTGTCGACATCCACGATGCTGAGCTAGCATTACTCCTAATACTGCCTCCAGTACCATGTTTCTCTAGATCACC